AAACATATCTACGCGTAGATCATGATGTTCTGTTAGAATCGCTGAAAACTGTTTTCCAAAATTCGCAGCGGGTAGTGTACAGCATCGATTTCTGTGGAACCCAGTAGCTGTCAAAACTTTCACATTTTTACGAATAACTCGGAAATCGTAAATTTTTCAGATAAAACGTTTGACACAAACTTAACTTAAATTTTGACGACAAATCTGAAAATGAATGAAAAAAGGGGCGGTTCCATTTAAAAAACCAAAGTTGGTAACTACCACACGTTTATGATACACCCCGTATATTGGAAAGTAATTTTAAAATGTGAACCTTTTAAACATGAAAAACTTTCGTAGGACGTATTTTCTTGTAAAGTTCATATTTACTGAGATATCGCACTTTGACGCACTAATGAGCAACCCTGTATATGAGTACATGTCCGTAAATAATTCCTTTTCACAGGTAGTTTTTTGTAAATGACTTAATAACTTGTTGATTTTGTGAAACTGTGGCCGGTAGAATTTAGAGCAGTAACTCCTTAAATAGACTAAAACTATTAAGCTGAGTGCAGGACAACCTGGTCAAAAATTTTCACAAAAAAGATATGCTCCACTGACTTCTATTTTTTTCGGATTAACAAACATTCTATACTTTTTCCGTATATCTCTATCGTACTATAACGATAACTATCGTACTTTATTGAGAGATTAAATGAAAATCATTTAGTAACTAATTTTTATGTACATTTTCAAACCGTTTTCGTTAAAACAAACAAAAACGTTAACAGTTAATGCATCGCATAACTTTATTATTTATTACTGCTCAGTTTTAAAACTAGTAGAAAAATATTCTGATCGGATTATACCACATAGGCAACCTTTGTGAGAAATATGAATTTATGTGTGAATTAGTAACCTTTCCAAGACAAGGCTTCAGTAATGTAAGAATAGTGGAAATACACATAGGAAGTAGTGTTAAGTAGTGTCCCTTAGCTTTTACCACCGCATGTAGCACCTCCGTGTTACTCTTCGCTAAAAAATATAAGCACGAGTTTATTATAAATTGTATAATTAAATTTCCAAATATTCACATCTCTGCTAACAAAAATCCCGATATGGTTACAGAAATAAATTGCCAACAACAGTTTCTCGTGATTGTTTGGTTTGGCATTAGATGATTATCTCATTGGATATAATTTTTTATCCTGAAGACTGAATGTTCAAGTGCATCGTAATGTTTTGGAAATTATTTTACCTGAACTATGAGAAAATGTTCCAATATAATAAGAGGAGCGATAAACCATGATGGGGCTCCGCTCACTTTGGTGTATCCACGCCAATGTCTGAATGAAACTCATAATTTTTTTTTAATTTGTATGATTAATATGACATACTGGTCGATAGCTTTCTCTATAGGAAATAAAGATTATTTTTATATATATGACATACTGACAATAAGACTTTGGTGTAATTTTAATTGCTAAATACTATGGTAGTTTTTAATTACTTATATTCTGGCAGCATGGAACAAACTGGTTTTTATTTAATTATCTTGAAAACCAAGATAATTAAATACCATATGTAAAATAAGTGGTATTGGAACTTGCTTAATCCCACAAAACTAGGAAAAAAGAAAAGTCAGTGGCGCATTTTTTTATATTGACCAGGTTGTTTCCTGACACCCCACTGAGCTTAATAGTTTTAGTTTATTTAACGCCAAATTATCCACATACTACTGTCACATTTCGATAAAATCGACCAAAGGTTATTACTTACCAAAAGTTATTTACAAAAAATTATTTTTTTAACACCAGATGCTCACCGCATGCGCTTTTATGCACTCCAAGAGCTGGTGGTCTGTCGCTCTGGGTTGTGTGGGACTCCAGCTAAGCTGTTTACCCACTAAAACCCTTTCCTCACCGCCGAGGTGGTGTTTGGCCTTGCACCCCGGTCATTTCTGCCCTATTGTGCCCTCGTATTTTACTCCCTCATTATCCCTGTGTATTCAATGAATTCCAGAAGAATCTTGAGGGGGGCTGCAGCTCGTTGATTTTCCCAAGCAGGTGCCTCTTTATGAGTTCTCCCCGCTGAGGAAAAAGTTTTTCTCGGGATATCCGACCGCCGCTATGTCCATCTTAATCCCGGAAATCGCAACCTTGCACGACTTGTTTGTGGTTCCTTCCTATACGGAAGTTCCCACATACAGCCGCCCAGGTGCTGCCATCCGACCGGTGTCGCTTTTGCGTCCCGGTCATGGCAGCTTTTTTGGGGTGTGCTGGTTTCCCTGAGGGTCTACCTAGCACAGTTTTCGTGGTTTTTCCGCCTGTCGGCGCGGAGAGTTTTTTACCACCCTTCGGTACTTTGCCAGCTGCGGAGCCCGACGGTTCTTCTGAGGAGGTCCCGCCGGTATTTTGTGGTGTATGATGGTGGTGTTTTCCTCCCCATCATTTCCACGATTAGCTAGGGAAGGGTTAGGTCCATCCACACAGAGCCCCGCATGTGTGGGTAAGGCTGATACAATGAGGTGCGCCTGTTGCCTCAAGGTTA